CTCATCTCCTTATTGTGGTTCTCCTATCCAGTTGTGATATAAATAAAGAAGTCAATAATGATGATATTATGATTGCCATCTTCATATGCAGATGATATGATGAGCATGTTTTAACATAAAACATATGAGTTGTCATAACATTTAGATAGATTATTAGAAGCAAAACAATCATGATCCTCTTTAATAAACTGAGTCAAAATCTAAAACCAAAATAATCTACAACAAATTGTAAGTCAGGTCAAACAGATGTTTTGGTCATGAGATTCCTATAATGTTACCCTCAAATATTCTATTGAATGCTTTCATTACCTTTCAGACTAGGCTAAGCACCAGGTCTGAATGTTATTGTCAGTGTTTAAATCTTAGGTTTTACCATCTATTTTATGATTTTAATAATTAATTATACTATTCATATAATATAATTAATTTATAAAACCAACTTTATTTAATACTGAATGGTTTAAAAGTCTAGTAAGAATGTAAACATATTAAAAGTAATAGTAGAACTTTCAATTTGTGTAAAACAATAAAGAAAGTTAAAAAAAAATGTCATTACTTTCCAATATGATATCGGTACAAATCAATATTTGACAAAATGATATTTAAAGTGTTACCCAGATACTATGTTACCTGCTTGAACGTAAAGTATTTAAAACATTGACTATTGCAATTTAACCATTATACAAAAAGAAAATGACAAGTGATGTTACCCTGATATTCTTAGCTGTCACGTGCATACAATTCATGCAGTATATATAATATACTAAATAAAAGGACAAACAGCTACAAAAATATAACTAAAACTTGACTATGTTTCTCCACTGGAGGACTGTTTTCCCGCTTTTTAGGTTGAAAATATACTCATTTCAAAGGGTACCACAAATTTAAATAACATAATATAGGTCCCAGTGACAGTTAAATCAAGGCAATCAATACTGAATTATTGGTTTATAATAAGACGAAATTTCATACATGATTTAAATAATTCACTGAAATTATTAAATTACATAGTTTATTCAACTCTTGTCCAAGTATATCTCCATATCATGGACTAAATGAAATATAGGCAGTAATTATTTAATGAGTAATGAGGAATCCCATATAATCAATTTATAATTCAAATTAAATTTAGCTCTTATTGTAAATAAATTTCAAATGTTGTAGAAGAATAGTTTGTTATAAATAATTCACGTTACTATATCTCATACAAAATTGCAAATATGCTGCAGACTGGACATTGATAAATGATCGAGAGAACTTTATATGTACTGAAAAGGGAACACAAGGTACAGACAACCAATACAAACAAAAGACGGGGGGCTCACAAGTCATAATTCTCTGAAAAACATATAAATCGGTAAAAATTAAAATCAAACTAAAATATGCAAGTGAAATTTGAAAAGTAAAAAAAATAAAAATAAATAAACACTGGTAAAATAGAGATATTTACTGGTTACAGCAAGGATAAAATAAACATACAAAATTACTGTGCACAGGTCCCACCTCAGAACCCAACTCCAGCCCCGCCGACGGCGGCCCGCCCGTGCGCCTCCAGCTTCACGCCGCCGCCGCCGCCGTCTCCCCACACGCACGGCTCCGGCGCCAGCTTGGCGGCCGCTGTACTCATCGGTTCCGACTTGCACCTCGTCAGCGCGAAAGGCCCCGGTCTACAGGGAGCCATCGGCGGCGCCGCCGCCGGAAGCGAGCACGACAACCGCGGCGGCTGATGGCGGTGGCCGTCGCTCTTCCTGGCGGGCGGAGCCGGGACAGGAACCGGCCTCTTTGTCCTCGGGTCGGCGGCGGGCGGCGGAGGCGGCCTTCCCCCGGCCTGATGGTGCTCGCAGGCGCCGGCGGCGGCTCTGGCCAGCCGGCGCGGCCGCTCAGGTAGCCACCTGATGAAGTCGGCGCCCCGGACCCAGGTCTCCTTGGAGACCTCCATTGATAGCTTGGGCTCGCACATCATCAGCAGCAGGCAATCGGGCAGCACTTGCTTCCGCTCTTCTTCTTCTTCTTCTTCATGTTCTTCCTTACTGTTTTCTAATTGCTCGCTGTTTACGAGTGGTTGATCTTTTGGGGTTTCGATTTGTTCTTGTTTTTCATCTTCTTCAAGAGTCGTTTCCTCTGTTTCTTTCTCTTCTTCTTCTTGATCTTTCTCAGCTAGTGATGTGGCCAAATTGGTTTCTTCTACATTTTCTTGGTAGTTGCAATCCAAGTTTTCTTGGTCTAACAGAGCTTCAAATGAGGACATATTTGACTTAACCTCTTCTTTTTCCTCATCATCTTTGGCCCTAATTTCATGGTCCTGTTCCTCACTATTATCCACTACATTCTCTTCAAAATCATTTTCCAACTGAGGCTTCAACTCATTTTGGATCTCTTGCTCAACAACTCCCATTTCACCTTCACACACACTTTCTGGTAATTTCTCTAACACCAAATTCCCTGCTTCTCCATAATCATCATCTTCATCTTCTTCTTGAATATCCCCGTGATTTGTATGCTCCCAATTACAGTACCTATTAGCAAGAGCAGCCATTTTGGTGGGATCAGATCTACACCTCATAAGCAAAAGCGCATTCTTCGGAGGTATAGAAATGCTCACTCTCCCCCTTTCTTCTTTCCCTTCTTCATCTTCAACCTCCAAACTCCGCCCTCTAACCTCAATTCTTCCATTCCTAACCTCAATATTATCAAACACATGCTGCCTCCTGCAATTCCACACACACATACTCTCCTCCGCCGCCGCCGTCTCCGACGCCGCCGCGTCTCCGCAGCCGGACATGGCCTCAATCTCCCTCCGCCGCCCACCGCCGCACACCAGGCATCTCCCCAAAACCGCCCCACTTTCTTCCCAACACTCATTACCATCATTACAACAACAACAACAGCATCCGCTCTTGGTGATTCGACAATGGCTACAACAGCAGGGGAACAACAAACAGGTGAACTCGGAGCCGAAGGCGCGCATTGCGGACGCCGGCAGGTGGACCCACCTCTGGTTCTTACGCTCTTCCTGCAGCTGCTCCGCCCTCCGGAAGCTCGCCTCCCCCGTCCGCCGCTGAGAGAGGCTCCGGCGGTGCTGCCTCCCTCTCCTCTTCGATTTCACCCTCACCTGCCCGATGCAGGTTACTTTGGGGGAGGACGGCTCGGGGTTGTCGGCGGTGGATGGGCCGCCGCTTCTGGAGCGGCGGCGGAGGAAGAAGAAGGAGGCAGCTCGGCCGTTGGGGTTGAGGAAGGATTTGGAGAGTTTCATTTCATGTGGTGGATGGGATGGGATGGAATGGAAGGGACAGGGACAGTGTTGATAATGGAGGAGCTCTTGGTACTTTAGCTTATAAATGCGAC